CTGTTCTGTGTGCTGGGCTGTGACTGGGAGCCACGAGGCCAGCTGGTGAGCAGGGAATCTGCCATGGTGAGTCAGGGGCCACTGTACCACGTGTGGAGAAGCCATCGTAGTCAGTGTGGGATCCCCCCCCACCCAGGGACTGGGGAAATGATGTCTGGATGGAGTGTCTGGAGTGATTCCTTTAGGTCCCCTGAGGTCTCTGCAACTCTCAGGCAGCAGCAGGACCTCTGAGTGATTTATCGCTGGGGTTTGCGCCTTCACAGAGCATGGGGGAGTATGAGCCTTTGTGCGGAAATATCCTAGTCACCATGCAAGGCATGGTGATCATGGTGATCATTTTTTCATTTCTTTTAGTAAAAACTGTGGCTAGCAAAGGCAGATTTGCTAACTTGGAGAGCCCTGGTCACTCTAGTGTCTTCTAGAAGTTCTGCACTTGGCACTGAACATTCAGGTGTAGATCCGTCTGCAGTTAATTCTGTGCAGGTGTAAATTCTGTGTCATTAATACATTTTCAGGTAGATGCCAGGGTGGTTCATTTACCTGTGTCATTAAGGCCAGACTTATCATGATTTCTGGCCTTATGTGGTAAAATTGACTCTACATTTATTGTGTTTTTATTTCTAAGTTTGCTCTCATGTTCTGTTGATCTCTTTATTCTTGCCCAGATAGTACAGGTTCCCCCCCCCCCCCCCCCCCCCGCCCCCAATGAGATAGGTTTTCTCTGTGTAGCCCAGGCTGTCCTGGAACTCACTCTGTAGACCAGGCTGGCCTCAAAAACCAAATGCTTCATTTAAAGGTGTGTGCCATCACCACCGCCCAGTTCATTGCAGTCTTTATTGCAATTTCATTCAATAGAAGTTGAAGTTGAATTCAAGTTAGAAGTCAGATGGTGTCACAGTGTTTATGTACTATTGATTCAGTCGTGTGTTGTTCAATTTTTCATTCATGATGACATTTTCTCATGTTATTTTTGTTTCTCATGCAATTTACTTTGTAGCATAAATTGTTAGACCTTAATTGAACTTTTGCTGTATCTGTAACTCCAATTCTGCATTATCATAATATAATATTGACATAATAGACACATGGTTGCATTCTACTCAAGGTTAGTCCTGCCCCCTGCTACGGAAGCCCATCTTGCATTAGGCACAGTTTCCAGTGGGGACCCCCACTCTCCATGATTAAAAGTCCATGTTTACACCCTTTCCTTAAAAAGACTCTTTAATTAGGTTTGCATGTATGTAGGAGGAGATGGTTGCTGTGTCCTAGGCAGGTAGGCCCCATGCAGGTAGGGGACAGAGGAAAGAATTCCATGACTCCAACCAGAGACAGCTGATTGCATCAACGAGTTTCACCAACTGATTGTAACAGTTGAAGCCAGTTGTTCTCATCCAGGTCTTTCACCTTCTTCTCAGTCCCCAACCACAAGATGTTGCTTGGCCCCATTTTCTACCAATTGAGTCTGGTCTGAGCTGTGATCAGACAGATTTGTGATTCTCCATGTTTGCTGGACTGAAGTCTTTTGGGCTTAATTTGTTAAAATGTTTAAATCAGTGGTAGTGTGTAGATGTATCCAACCGTCTTATTAAAATAAGAAACACAGAACCAATGTAAAAGAGAAAGCTGAGAGGTCAGAGCTCAGAGCTAAAATCTTACCTCCTTCAGTGCTCCTAGCTTCCCCGAAAGAGAGCTACTTCCTGTGTGTCTGTCTTTAAATAGTCTTTCT